TTAGCAATGCAGAAAAATCATACTTGCAATTCGTGTACCGACGCAAATAAGTTTTCTATAACTCAGAAGCGAAATTATTATTTTTCAAATGTCGCTAATCTTGCTATTTCTAAAATTTATTTTTATTTATTTACGTAAAACTATTTATAATTAAAATGATGGGAAGGGATTCTGGAACTCAAGAAAACGTGCGCAGATAATCTTTTCCCCCCATGTCACATAGTAGTTGTTTTTTTACTGAATAAATCTGAATCTAAAGGTCTTATAGACACATAATAACTTGACTCTCACAACACACATTGCTTGGTGCTGTCGACACATGGATTTTGTGAAGTGTCCGCAATAGTATCTAGTCACGCGACCTTTATTATGATAGCCGTCGTCCCATTATGATAGCTAAATGATTGCACTAGTTGCGTCGTCTTTGTAACGACGCCTTTGTAATCTAGGATTAAAATGGTAAAAATGCCTTTTTTATTTTTTAACTACAGCTCAGCAATCGAAAAAAATCTTTAAAAAATCACGTTTTATATTTTAAGAAGAACTTTTGAGAGGGGTTTCAAGCCTGTTCAAGGGTTCTAAGATAGTAAAAAATACTTTTGTTTCTTTTTTTTCAAAAAGAAAACAAAAACTTAGTGTTTTAATTTGGCACTGAGAAAATATTTAAAGAAATCTTTTTCTGATAGTATAAACTATTTCGTTATTTCTCATATCTTTTCCAATCAGATAGAGAAGTGGTAAATTGACAAAAAAAACATGTTTCTGGCTATAGTTAGATGAAGGTGTTGGGACGCGGGCTAAGAAATCTTACAAAAATATCATGTTTATGTTAGAATTATAGTATAAATACTCATGTGCCATTTGGTTTACGGAAACTTCTGAGGAGGGATCCTCCCCCCCCCCCAATAAAAGAACCGAAATCCCACCTCTGCCCATTACTGTACATTTCTCCCTTCTATCTGCAAAATTATATAACAAAATTTCTCGAATTGTCTACATCAGCTATCCAATCCAAACTACAGAAATCTAATTGGAAACTGCTCAGAGAATTTTTGACCTTCCTTAAACAGACTGGAAATGATTAGCCTTTTCATATAATTTAATGTGCTTCTGAATTAAATAACCACGCTAAAAATTATCATGTAAACCTGCTCTACAAACATCAACCACTGTGTCAGTCGTAGACGGCTGTTGAGGGTCACAGGCCACGCAAGAAACAATAAAAAATAATAAAAAACTCACCAACAATGTAGCCGTTCCAAATCTTTCATGGGAACAAGTAGTGTCGCCGTCGTAACCATTGCCTACGACGAACTCGGCCGTTTTGTAATGACATCCTGTCGATACAGCATGAACAAAATGTACACGAACGTATCTTCCTCACAGTGGGTTTTCCCTCATACCTCAACTCGAAGGTCTCTTCACCGTGAACACTTTTTCACAAGGAGCCCAGCTTGGCGTTTTGCTTCGCTTTCGACTGCGACGGACACCATCGTTTCACGAAGATTCGAACCCCGCCCGCGTCACTTTCCACTCCCGTAGCTCCCAGGAGTCGAGCCGAAGCCCTTCTGACTGCTGTGGTATTGGCACACGCAATGCGCATGCTCCGGGCAGAAAATCGCCGGACAAGTGACCTTGGCGGTCGACCACCGACATTCAGAAGGGTTGAAGACAAAAGAGCGTTGCATTGGATGCTAGCACAACAGTCAAACCTTAGGCGGAAAATGACAATTGCTTCAAAACGTTTTCCATTTTTGCCATTGAGCATTAGGCCGTCACATCTTGTACAAGTTTACTTCGTAACATGAGAACATAATTTGTGTGTGTGTTTTCCCAATGATTCATATTTAGGAAAATTCAGATTCATTTTCATAATTAAAACCTTGCAATAAACAGAAGAAACGCGTCAACTGAAAGCAGTATTTGTTTGATATAGCCAGCCTGATTTTTGGAAAGTTAAAACAATTAATAAAATAAAGTAGTAATGTTACAAAGATGCACATACTTTCTCGTTCTGGTTCCACCTTTTTACCTTTTCGCTCTTACTAACGTAAGGAGAGTATTGTAATCGTGCGCCGGAAAACGGCGAATTTTCGACACAAAAACTCTTATTGTCGGGCCCTAGTAAGGAAATAGTGGATAAATCCAGTTTCTAAACATAGAAAAAAACTCCTCAAACACGTGGTGAAGCCAGAATTCCTGTTTTGTGCGTCCTTCATACTGAAAAATCGATTGACGGCAAAACATATTCGTCCGTCCGTCTGCGCACAACGATAGCGCACAAACTGTTCAGCCGATTTTCTCCAAAATTGATATTCAAAAATCGTTCTAGCTGATGTCGCGGGCCCTGGAATTTGAAAACGATATTTTAATTTTGGGAAGGTACTTTACATGAATCCCCTGGAACATTTTCAAAATATCCAAAAAAATGGCTCCAAATGTTTTGATTAAAGTTTGTTGTTTAATAGTGCAAAGGATGTTTAAGAGAATGGTGCAGGTCTTATTTTCAATAACATCCCCGATATTTCGAAAAATGGAAGAAAAAAACTTAAAACTTGGAGATAAAAATTTTTGTCTCAGTCAAAGTCTGCTGTTCAAAGAAAGTTATATACTTTTTTGCAAAAGGGAGTGATTTATGCGTATTTTGCGATTAAAATTAACAACAACAAAAGTTCTCAAAAACTGTTTCAATTTTTTTCTTTTAATTTTCTCCACGTAATGTAATACGGAATGGTCAGAAGTATGACGCTAGTCTCACTTTCAGGTTTTGCACTTTTTTTTTTCGAAAATTGCAAAAAACTTTTCAAAACTACTAAATTGAATATAGAGATTTTTGCCTCAGACAATGTTTGTCCTACAAAATTAGCTCTTCAAAAGGGCCATGTACAAACTTTTGAAAAAACAAACAGTTTTGTGTAATTTCTTGTTGAAATTAATTAAAAAAATATACAGGTTTCACATCAACTACAGGCTACAAGAAAAATTGAATGAAGGATATAAAAAATTATTAATTTAATTTTAATAACAATTTCCTGTCGAAAATTAGTTCTACTTTAATTCAATATTCATTGTATTTTGCTTTCTCTCACTTTCACATTACTTACTTCTACAATTAGTATTCTCAATGTATTGATATACTAGTACATAAAGTTGACGGTCTTCCTATAGCATAATGGCTTTCATTGATCCTTCATACCGAAAGCAGATAATTCTTAAAGTTCTGTGTTATTTAGGCCATCATTCATCAAATTATAATATTGTCCAATTTAAGAAATCATACAACTGTAGAGTGCAAGCAACACTACCTAGAAACTGTATATCTAGGTGATTATTTATTCATTTGATTTAATTAGTAAGATGGTAATTATTTATTAATTGATTAATTCCAGACGTAATGTCTTGGTGATTAATTCAAAATATTTATTAATTTAAACATTTCTTTCGGGGTCTAGAGATAATTCTAATTTCTAAAATTTCTAAGATTTATCTTGAATACAGTGTTGCCGACTTTTATTTTTCTTTTAATTATAATATGCAAAAAAAAAAAGGGGGGAGGGTATTATATAATTTATTAATGTTTATTGATTGTCTATTTTGTTGTTATTTATTTTTTGTATCTTTTAATTATAAACAATCATTGGATAGATTAAATCAGAAACATGTCACTTGAAAAGGTATTTATTTAGATTACATTAAAATGATTCTTTTACATGTACTACGATTCGGGGTAAGGTTTATTGCTTTCTCAGACGCATTTCATGTCAATGCAGTTGTCATTTCATGTTCAAACGTGTTGTAACACAAGCAAGAGTATTAACATTAACATTCATAATGGGATATATTTATAATGATTTTCATAATAACATTCGTATTGGGATATATTGGAAGGAATTTATTTCTGAATGTTCCATTCATTTGTGAAATTATCCTTGCTTGTCTGTACGATGTGCTGGAAAATAAAAAACGTTTATAATAGTTTTCGTTCATTTACTATTTCAATATTTTAAATAAACTAACATACAAACTTGGCAGCAAAGAATCGCTATTTAATGTGTTACTGAATTATGAAGAGACTGATAATAGTTTTGTTTGGTTGTAGGTCTTCACTTAAAATAAAATAAAACATTTAAGAATGAACTTAAAATATCTTGGAGACGTGGCAACAAATAATTTTCGAAACAAACAATAGTGTTCCATAAAGAACACCTTAGAAGAACTTTCATAAAACTGCAACAATGCAAATTGAAAAAAATCTATTTATGGCAAAAATGGCGCTTTTAGGAAGAATTGATAAGAAAATATTGGCAGCGCCTATTGCTGCATGCCCGCTTTGTTGTCAGCGCTCATCGACTGAGTTGTGTTGATATAGACAGAAATTCAGAATAATATTATTACATAGCCATTAGTAAGAGTTGAGAAAGTATGTGCTGTTTTAGCACTACTAGTTTGTCTGTGCTTCCATTTCTGTTTTACCCACCCACTTCCTGGCAGACATAAACTGCTCTCCTGGCAATAATGTAAGTGAACAGCTTCTCGTGCTTCCCAGACATCACAGCCAGATAGCCCTTAGACCCATCTCAGAAGTTGCATATAGGCACAGGCAACATAATTGTTATTATATTGTACATTATTTTTGTTATGTATACATGCTTCTACAGAATATTATTTTGTAAATTAATTACAAAATTCCAACATAAATATTTAAATCAATTTTTCTAAATAAAGAGAGGTAACAAAAGAAAGCTTTAGGCCTTTTGGGGGAGGGGCATGGGCCTCATGCCCTCCCCCCTACTTGATCCACCTCTCCTTTATGAATTTTTAATTAAATTAAATTAATTAAATTATTTTTTTTAATAGAGCCTACACCAGTGACTTGTAGCCCATGGCTTCATCTCTGTGCTTGTAATAGCGCTAGTTCATTATAAACTAGTTACACAGATCTCATTGACAGGTCAGGACAAAGACTTACGAATTATTTAACATGCTATATAGTACTTTTTAAGATATTAATCTTAAAGATTTGCGGAGATCGAATCTCTGATAATGTTGTGGAGAGGGGGGGGTAGGACTAGGAGAAGGTACATATATGAGGAGGATTATCTGAGATTGTTTTGATTGTGGACTTTTTAAGATATTAATGTGTTTTTTGAAAAGTGAAGTGAGAACTTAATTTTTTATATAAAATTTAGTATTAATAAATTTCCCATTATAAATACCTTTGAACTCACACTCACATGGTTTTAGAGTTTTTGGTTCTGGTATGTGTCTGAGAATATCTGCTGACTGACAGTCATTCCCGGACTGAAGTTACAAAGAGCTGTGGCGTTCAAATAAAATATTGTGTCTACAATTTAAATGTAAATGTATTAACCAAAAATGTTAGTCAAAGTTGATACAAAAAAATATTTGAATAAAATTTATTCACACTACATAATACTAGACACTGAATTTTAGGCAAATTCCTGTTTTGATGTAGAATAAAGTCATTCCACCTCAAATTGAACACTGTTTTGACCTTAGGTGTTCGGAACTAATTGAAACTTCTTGAATGTGATATGAGGGTAACTAAAATATGCTTAAATGATTTTGCTAGAATTTAAATTAATTATTTTGGAATTTATACCACATGAAATTTTTCAAACAAAAAACAAGCACTAACAAATACAAATGTTTATTTCTCCAGCTACATTGAACGTACAAAACTGAGATTAGTCTTAAATAAAAGCTCAAGCACTGTTATTTAAGACTATTTATACTTGGCTTTAATTGTTAAATATCAATAATTTGTTAAATGTTATTTAATTATAAAAATGGCAATTTTACAAATTTTGCAAAAATTAAAAATTAAAATATATTTAAAAATAATATTATATTTTGAGTTGAATAACTTTAAATATGAAAATTTTCAAACTTGGATATTTAAAAATTATGTAATTAAAAATTATTAATTGAATGTGTGTGCAGTCACATAGTGTACTGCGGGATGTTTCGCGGGATGGAAACGCATGTGGCCCTCCAGAATTAAACAAAGAAGCCCTTCTTTGAAATCCAGATGAGCGCCCTAGTCAAGGTTTCTGACAGTATTTGTTGAACTTTCAGTGAGTTCGGTTCCACTACAGCCGCGCCAGATGAGAAACATATTGCGCTGTGTGGCAGACACATTTTGATTTATTATAGTGTCCTGTGCATATATGCAGCAAGTGTAAACCTTGCTTACTGCAGGTTTTCCATAATTTGTGATAGCCTGTTAATAAAATGAGTAATATCAAGCACCCAAAACATGAGTTCAGTTTTAATACAATAAATCTGAAAAATCACTGTGTTAGGAATAAGAATACAAACTTTAGGTGAATGACATCCTATTCCATCTTCATTCAAAATTTAGTTCAAGAAGCACATTGGAATTATTGGTCACATTTCACCCCTTTTATATATTTCAAATATAATAGTTATCTAAGGCCCAAAAGTGTAATAATAATTTCTGAAAGCCTAAAGCTTGATACAAATGCAGTTCCCATCTTCTATAACCATTTTATTAAATTAAATTTCTAAAAGTTGAAGTAGGTTATGCCAAAACAGTAATATGTTTTTCAGATAGAGCAAGTGCGCAATAAAAAAACTATAAAATCTTTTTACAAAGAAGATTTTTGTGTGAATTCTGAATGGAATACCCTTGCTACTTTCAAGGGGAAAGGGCCATGAAATCGTCGCAACACCTTCAAAAGATTCACTACACGAGCAAGTCTGCAGCCACTTCAGGGTCCAATTATGACACCACAGAAATTATTCAAGTAGGCAAAAAAAATTTAATGGTATTCACGTAATGTTTTTGACAATTATTTACCACAAAAGAGAATGTGACTTATTGAAATCCCGATATGAAAAAGTTAAAGTAGTCATGCAAATATACACTTTCGAGAAACTATTATTTTTTTAAATTTTATAAAATGTATATTAATGAATGTCAGCTACTGCTTCTACATTTTCAGCTCTTCATTCTTAACATTCTTGTTTTAATGATAAATAGACTGACTGTATTTGACTTTTTATGGTGCAAACCTGGATGCCGCTATCCTCCACATGCCGGATGTTCATATGGAAAAGTTAAATTATTGAAACTGTATTTATGCACATCCCATTCTGAAATGTTATACTATCTTACAATGAAAGGTAGAGAATTTAGTGGAATTTTTTATATTTATAACTTTTTTGCATACTTAAAAACACAAGAAAAGCTGTGAAAAATAAACAATAAAGTTTTTGTATAATTTTAGTACAAATATAATAAAAAGTCATGTTATAATCTATACAATAAAACTTGTTATAATTCTTCAATTTTCTTTCGTAAAGAAGATATGAGCATTTATATATGACAGTACACACGCTATTTTGACTTAAAAAAATCAAAAACATCAGAGGTCAATTTTTCATTGAATTTGTTCGATTTGCCATGGAATGAAAAGACACTAAATACAAACGCTTTCCACGACTTTTCAAGATATAAGAATTACATGTATACTGACGAAAATGCCTATGTCAGCAGTAAAGCCTAAAAATGTCAACTCATATGCTAATGATCACATTTTCAGATGTTTGAAATTAATTTGGCTAATTTCAAGCTTGTTTCATAGTTAAATCATCTCAAGGAGAGGGAATCCTATTATTTATTTTTGGAATATCATCATAGCAAGTTCAGAACTTCTTATCACTCATGATTGTCTCAAAATACAATTTAACTTGGCTAGGTTTACTTTGTAAAAACATTTTTTATTTAAGCATTTATTCTTACTTGTACTTGAGGAACACAAAATTTGATCAACCATTCTACCAATCTTCCTGACCCGTTTACGACCGAGTTTGATTGTGAGTGGGCCATTTAAGGTGAACAATGTCAAAAAGTAGTAGCAATATAAGTGCATTTATCCATTGTTGGATAAGATAATTTGATGATTTTTTAATATATGAGTATTAAATACCTGGATACCCTGGCATACCCTTGAATTTTCTCAGGGGGATGTAGTAAAACTATGTTTGCTACTGGACTCTCTCATTATCAGTCTACCCTTCATAAAATGGTAATTATCATAGAACTATGGCCAAAGTTGTGACTGAAATGGCATCCTGTGGATGTTTTAAGCTGCACAAATACCACAAGATTTTTTTCTGAAATGGAATGCATTTACTTTAATGTAATGTCATCATAATTTGTCATTTGCTGCAAGTGTGATGATTTGGCTAAGGTCCTTATATTTTAAACTATTTTTTCTCACTTTGTAATGTCATTCTTGTAATATACATATCAGTTTCAATTGCTTCTGAGCCAAACATGTAAATCCTGTAAGTACGCATTGAGAGACAATACGAAGCCTTCCACTAAAGATATGAGAGTTCTTTGCAGCATTACATTCTATGGTGGATTTTTGATGTGTATGCTAATTTTCAAGTGAATATGCCTACTAAAGGTGCTGCAAGACATACTATTTACTACTTTTATGTATGATTTTCAGAATACTTTGTTCAGGTTCAGAAGTAAAAACATTGAATAAAATGAGTTGGTAATCTAAATTTGTAATTTATTAACAGCTTCGCCTGATGCTAACATGGTTAAAAAAAAAAATTAAAAATTAAAAATAGGCTAAATTACATTTTTAAAAGTGTAAAATGAGGTTATATATAATAGCAAGTATAATTTATGAATATAACTTGGACACATAACTAAAATTAAATATGATTTAATTAATAACTTATGTGTATTTAATTTTTTCTATGAGGAATCAATTACTTTTTAAATCTTATAGCCTACATGTATTTTGATGTATACAAATAATATTTAAATACATCATATATTTTTGTAGTTGTGAATATTTATTTTTCTACCATTGTTCTACCACTAATTCTGAAAATTACTTAATGGGTACATTAAACACTAGAAAATGTACATGAAATCTTCAAACATATTATCAAAATTACATGTACTAAATCTGGAGGGAATTCTCATTTTGCCATATCACAAGCATTATAGTAGAAGGTATTATCAGCCTGATAATAAATTGATTTGTGAGTATTTAATCATTTTGTTCAAAAACTCATAGAATACAAAAAACAAAAACCTGTAACCAAGATGAGACTCTTTAGATACAATTTTAGTCCATAAGTTTTGCTGTAGTAAGCACATATCTCCTCTGCCTATGCATAAATGACAATCATAAAAATTTGGGCTCTAGCAAAAACGCATAAAAACTTGTTTTTCAGGAGAGGCATTTGAATTTTCAAGTTCACTTGGAATATTCAGAGATGCAACATCTCTACAATTCTTCTCTCACAATAAATTTGAAAAGTGTGGGTATGTTAAACCATACACCCATTGACAAATCCTTACTCTTCTTACTAATAGTTCGTTTCTGATTAGTTACGAGTGATGCCGCTATTGCAGCAAACGAGTGAATGTTCTGAAAATTGAGAATATTGATCATGGAAAAAAATGCACTACTTACCTCACTTATATACTTACTATACTTACCTCACTTAATACACCTTCTCATAGACAGAGATGGCAACCATGTTGATAAGCCATATCAGTCCTCCAGAGATGTGATAATTATGATTGTTGAAGGACTAACTTGGCTAATACTGCCATACATAAACAGTGTTTACGGGGATTTTATTTACATTGTACCCCTTTTGAAGTTGTCTTAATTCTCTCTTCTTGATGTTTTTTTACTTGTAACGTAATTATATTAATTATTATTTGGTGACGCTATAAGTTCAAAAACAAATTTAAAGATGAACTACATTCTTGAAACTTTAAAGTGATGAGCTTTAAACATGTTTCCAGTTCTTCAGTTTTTATTTTTTTTCTGCTGGTCCCTTAAAAGAGGAAATAAAATGAAGAGAAACAAAGTCTTTAGTTCAGGAAAAGTTCAGATTTTCTTTTGTTACAAATAAATAATTTATTGTCTCCGGACTGTGGCTGATTTAGACTCGCTACGTTAGAAGATGGATGTGCGAGTTATATCGGACACAATACATACCAGTTAGCACCAACAATTATTAATATAATGTTGTTTACAAAGAATAATATAGACACAGGCCTATTATGAAATATACCTATTTAACACTGAATTTACCTCAGAAAATATAAAATGCAAAAAACTTAAAAAAGAAATTGTTCTACTTGACATGCAAATTTCGTTACATACTCCAAAATGCAAGTACTCAAACATTTCTTGAGTTATAGAACATTATTACATTGCTTTGGCAAGATAAAATTGCTATCAAACAATCTTTCAGTGAACAAGCTCTAAATAAATGTAAAATGTGTTTTAAAGTAAACACATTTTCTAGAAACAAAACCTTTCTCTCATTACATTTGACAACTTTCTATTTCGCACATGATGACAATCTTTGTCATTATTATATAACTGACCAATATATGGGTTCTACTCCACATTACACACAGATGAGGTGAAAAATCTCATACTCAACAAATCAAATATACTTGTTTTAGAGCTGGGCAAATATAAGACTTTTGATTTTACCCTTAATCTTACTGTTAAAATCACATTTGGTATATTTAACCATATTTATATTCCTACATATCACACAACAAGGAAAACAAATGATAGATTCTCATCCATTAATGAGATACAATCGAATTACATTTCTGTTTCATTGGAAAATGATTTGGAATTTTTCACAAACCATGCTAATTTATAGCTGCATTTCACAATATGTTTACAAATATGTGTGATATTCATAAGTTATGCATCAACATTTTCTCTTAACCTACTCTACACAACATGAATTATCTAATTCCTTCTATTACATTTCATTTCTAATCTATATCAACACATGGGTTGTGTAGATATGTGTGATAGTTTATACATTATTGATACATACATAATGATGCTACAAGGAAATTTTTTATATTCCATTATAAAACAAGTTATTTGTACATTTTATCTTTCAATTCAGTGAAGCTGCTTCTATATATCTTTTTGCTACAAGACCATGCATCTTGATGTCCAACAAGTGCTTCGTATCTGTACACATGGAAAACATATTGTGGAGTGTAACAACGAGACAATGCTTACATTCATTAACAGTACTACAATTGAATTGTTGGCTTATTACATTTGATCTAACAAAGATTTTATGAAACTCAACTTGCTGCCTTAGCAAATAACATACAGAAAAAAGTATACTTTCTGAAATCACAAATAATGATTTCATGAGATTCCAGAAAATTTGTTTCCCCAGTAAAGCTAATTAATCCAGTCATGGAAACAGACCTTTGCTCACATCATTCTAGACTGACTCATAAAAATACAATTACATTTTAAATATACACACCAAATTCTTTTTCATAAGCTAAAAACACTGACATTTACATATATTCAATAAGAAATGGACAATGGGAAAAGGTGAAGGTAGGTTCTTCTGAGAATTCTCAGCAGTCACTTTAGATCCAAAGCTAACACTTAATGTAATTACTGAGATTTCTTCACTGACTTTCACAATGCAGATGCTTCAGCAGTCCTATTTCCATTATTTTCTCCAGCATGACTTGAGCAGTAAAACTTCTTATGCGCTACAAAAGTTGACAGGTACTGAAAAGAGATATCGCATGACTTACAATATTTGGGGCCAGGAGGCTTAACCTTATTTCCTGACAACTCCAGGGGATCAGTATCCTCTGTATCACCTGACTTACTTTCACCTTTGGAAGATTTATCTGCTACGTGGGCATCTTCGACATCAGACAAGGACCGAGGCTCATTTTTGATTTCTGAAATTTTATCGCCTTCAGAATAATCTTCAATGACTTCTGAATCATCGATTTCCCTCTCTTGTTTTACAGATATGTCCACAGTTTGGTCTGCTTTCAAGGATTCATCTTCATCTCCAACATTATTAACACTGTGTCCCAAATTTGTTAGTTGTGACCTGACTTCACCATCTCCAATTATGCTCTTAGCATCCACAGATGATGATGAAGAAAAACTGCAGTCATCAGGGATATTGTTACTTGTTTTATTATGCACAAGTTTATAATGCCTCACAACATTCCCCTTATACGTAGAACTATAGTTGCAAAGGTCACAAAAATGTAATTTCTCCACACGACTGCCTTCATTAGCAGGAGATTCATTTGGAGGAATTTCACCAGCATTTCCACTACCTTCTGTCTTCGATTGAGGAGGTATGGTTACAGAAGTGGTGGAATCCGTCTCATCACTGAGAATACATGTAATGTAATTCTCCTCCTGCAAACAAAATCAAGATTTTTTTTCAGTTTTTTTTCCATAAAATTTCCAAGAAAATGTGAGCAGATTGAATACCTTCTATCACACTTTCAAGAAATGCAATGCAAAATCATGCATACTTCTTGAAAATAAAATAAAGTAAATAAATTTGGATATTGAAAAATAAAGGAAAACCATTGTGCCAGAAGGAAAAAGGAAGAAGAAGAAAGTTAAAATAAGGAGGAAAATAGTACTAAATACATGACAGAAGCCAAAATGGGTAAAATGAAAATAGTCTCAAAAAATTTGAGAGTGAGCACAGTCACAGTCAAGAGCACAGTCAAGTGATTTCTATTGTTAGAAGTCTTAAAATCATATCAATAATAAGCAGGGTGAAAAACCTCAGAGAATTTGGGTTTTATTTATTTTTGGTCACATAAAATATAGATATTCATAATTTGAATAGTCCAACTAAAAGCAATTCGTACTGCCAAGTATACTATACGTGATGTGTCCAAGGATTATCCTGGTCCCCCTTGAAGATTTTAAACTCATAAAATTATTACCAGTAACAAAAACTTATTGACATTATTATGTTTGGAGAATAAGATTAGAAACGTTAAACAAGCAGTAAAGTTGCGAAAGGAGTTAGCATTTTACCGTAAGTTTATTTTGTACTTGTGTCTTTGAATTAATGTGCAAGTGCAACCTAAAACAAGAAGGGGCAACTACATATCTGGACTTCCATTTACATTAAACTTTTTTAATGTACATATGGCAAGTTTATATAGACATAAATAAAACATGATACAAATTAATTAATTGAATTAAATTATACCTTTAATTAATATACAATACAATTAATAAATACAATTAGTATATCCATGCAAGAACTATCGCATGTTAAATCCCGTCTTCTTCTGTGTCCTTCCATTTCCTTATTAAGAGGGAAAGTTGTTAATGAAATGTGTTTATTTGTGTTAAAAGGCTGGGGAAAATTTGCACATTTTGCCAAACTTCCAGGGTTTTTTGACAATAATATAATTGAAGGGCTTGGGTCTAGACAGACCTAAACACATTCAGATTATTCTGAGGAATAAAAAGATGGTTTTAATCTACTGCCCCTTGCCACATAGTAAAGAACCAATGTTTTCTTGGTACAGCAACATTTGTTAATTTTACTACAATTCTTAAACAACATGTAATAATTTATATAATTATCTTATTTATGATGAAAATGTAGCCTAGAACTCTCTAGAACCAAGCTCTTCAATTTAAGTTGGTTAGCTAGAAAATATTTAAATAATAAAACAAAAGTACCTGAAGGTCTGCTGCCCTTTTCTCAAAGTGCATGCGTATATGGGTTCTCATGCCTCGTAAAGTATTTCCTTTGTATCGACAAATGGTGCAACGAAACGCTTTCACTTTACTGTGAGTCTCCATATGCCTCTGCGCTGCGCTGGCTGTTGGACTCACGACTTCACAGCAGGGGCATTTCCACCCAGCTCCCCCACTGCCTGAGCTGTTGCTTGCTCCTACTGGAGCAGCACACTGATGGGTTACAACCTGATCAGCAGGTATCATCATCTGGAGAGCAGAAAAAAGTCATTTCCACCATCATTTTGGACACAAACACATGCAGTCAACAACTTATACACGAAGTGATATTACTAAGAAAAGAAAAAAAATCTTTCTCTGAAAAATTCTGATAATTTGAAAATGCATAATTATCCCAGACTTTTCTTAGAACATTTACTGCAATAGTAGTGTAGTCCAGAAAGGTATGTTATTCATAATATGCATTTCAAGTTCGAAGTTCATATGAGAAATTCAATGATACATCAATATCATTGCTCTCTCACAAAAACCTTTTGAAAGAGCTTTATAAATACCTTCTCTTATTACTAATAACCCATTCTTGTAAAAAGTATGAGTTATTATTGCAATGTGTGGAAGACATGTAAACATTTACATTCCATGGAATGAATTTAACAGTGTACATAAAACTTTTTGATAATTAAACGTTGCAGAAAATTGTATTTAATTTTTTACATTAATTATAATATAAATATACATTTGAAAGGCTTAAAACACCAATTATGAACTCACTTTGCATTTACTGCACTTGCGCCCCACTTTTTCTGAAGCCACTTCAGGTTTGCTAGTAGTTAGTTCAGATCGCTTTGGACAATAATAAGACTGGTGAGCAGTCAAATTATCAAAAGATGTGAACTTTATCCCACAAGCTGCACATATAAACTGGAAAAGTGTGGGCTTTTGGGCTGCAGGAGCAGCAGGGCCAGGACTGACAGATCTGCATTCTTTGCCACTGGTAGGAGATCCTGCAGACGCATTGCTGTTCCCTGCAGTAGGTGAATTTGACATAGCCAAAGGACTAGGTGTATTGGCTCCAGGTCCACCCAAAGATGCATCATCTCCACCAGAGCCACTGTCGAGACGTGCAGAGCAGTAGTGCTTCTTGTGAGCAATGTAATTTTCATGCTTGCAAAACACAATATTGCATTCTCGACACTTTGAAACCCCTTGTTTCACAAGCACCTACAAACAATAAACATTCATTATAACAAAACTTGAATAAAAGAATATTTCATTGATCTGCATCTAATAATAATCACAAAAGTCTACTGAAGTGAAATTAACTTTATGATTCAGCACACACAGTAGATCTAATTTGATAATTGCAATAAACTGTGCACAATGACATCATTTATTCCTAATATTTACCTGAGGCTGCATCAGATTTGGAAGTTCTGTTGCCACTCTCATTGCTATTTCAGAAGTAAGGAACGGCAAAATGGAAGGAGAGGCCAGAAGTGCAGGATTTCCAGGGCCACCCAAGGGAAGCAGTGGAAGAGAACCAGCAGCATTGGAAATAACCGAAGGGATAGGTGGGAAGGGCTTGCTTACAGCTGGAAGGGAGGGACTTGGAGTGGTACTGCTTTTCCCATTGTGTTTCATGTTAATTACAGATGTATGATATGCTTGGGCCAAGGAAGTTTTGAGATGTGATGAGCCCAAACCGTTTGTATCTTCTCTCTGTCCAGAAGCATTCATAGCTGCAATGAGGAGATTCGAAAGATTCGCTCCGGATTCTTGAGCTGCTATGTGGTTTATGGCTGCAGTGAACGCCTTTTTCTGGTTAGCACTACCTGCTTCAGTGTGTTTCAGACCGTTGCTAAACTTGCTTTGGCTATTGCTATTGCTATTGCTTGACAAATTAATTACTACACCATTCGGAGTCTTGCGAGGAGATCTTGGAGAAGATATAGGTTGGGGTTTAGGGCTAGGACTATTGCTTCCGGATTCTGTTCGGAAACGTTTTGATGGCACATCACAACATATTCTCTTGGAATTCGAGACTGATGAGGAAGAAAGAGTAGGGGATACAGGGCAGGGAGATGGAGATGATGAGGTTGAAGAAGTGGAGAGCATTAGAGGTATGGAAGGAGCGCACACGATCTCTTCCCCTTCTGGAGAAGAACCAAAGGTATGGCAAATGTTAGATTTGTTGTCTACACTCCGTCGATTTTCCTTTTCTTCCTCGACATCGTATTCAGGACCTAAGTCGACCACCAGATCGCTTGTGTCGGATGATCGCCTTATGCTGAGATCCAGGGGAGCTGACGGGTCTCCTGAACGATGACTTATCTTTGCTGGCTGAGATATGGTCACCTGTGAAAACGTGATATGAAAGTGTGAGATTCCACAATGAATGTAGCATAATTAAACACACATTTTTCTGAAATTTAGATGATCTAAATATATTTTTTTTAAACATTATTGAAGAGAAACAAGATTTTAATAGCCATTTGAAATCTAGTCTCTTTCGTAACGAAATAGTATTTTTCTCAACCTTAGAATTATATCTTTAATAATTTCAGGTTGTCAAAATATACAGTTTTCCTTTTTTAAATGGTATGGTTTATTGCGAGCATTATCTATTAAACAATGCATGATTTTAAATCATTTATTTACTTAAAGTAATATTTGTGAGATAACGGGTGTCACTTTGTATCCCTCAAGTCAGGCGCGGATCCACGGGGAGGCATATAAGAGAAATAATCTCCCTAAAACTTTTCAGCCAGTATTAATTTTAACTTGTCATTCATCTTGCAAGTAAGAATAGTCGGATAATCATAAAACGAATAAAATCGTATAGCAGCATGAGCTGAATGTAGCCTGCGACATTTAACAAAATCAGTAATATGACATATTTGACCAAATAATTTTCAATTTCCCCTCCCAAAATTTGTCTCTGGATCCGTCCCTGCTCAAGAACAAATACAAAACATAGAATAGCTGCCCAGGAGAATTCACGTGGTTCAAATCGGAGTCAAAGGTCTAAGTGATCCTTTAACACGCAGGTCAGAATGTTAATCCAAGTCTATCATAGACAGCATGTTACAGTTTATCATATAAAACACATTGTGTTACAGGAAGAATCGGGTTTCATGCAAGACTTAGGAACAAGTATTTGTTATAAAAAGTGAATATCGCAGACATTCCTGCGTGGAAAAGTGGCATATTGAATCGGATGGAAAGTTGGCTAGGTGCAAGAAGTCAATTGTTAAACATGAAATTTTGTTTCACGGCTGTGCCCCCTTCATAATCATGTCTTCCGTCGGCAACTTTTGACTCCCCCTGCTGCATTAACTTACACGCGGTCTTGCACAGCGATGTCGCGAACATTCGTTTGGAGAAGGGTTGATGCTCTTCAGGTCCAATAGCTTCACATCAATTTGCAAGAATTTAACAATTTTGTTAAAAAATCAGAGAAGAAAAATAAAAAAAAAAAATGAAAAATATCATGCGACGAAGAAGAGGCACTTTAGACACAATTTTAGTCCACAATTTTTTCCGTCCCTAAACTTTTGCCGCCGTAGCTTTGCCGTGCTTCCTTTGTCTATACGAAATCCGCCCCTGCGTACGAATTGGATTAGTAATGGGGCAGCGACAATGGCTGCGCAACGATCAAGCGATGCTAAGCGACTGGCGCTGTA